TGTACAGTTAACTTTTCAAAACTGGAGGTACCGGCTTTGTTGTGAGGAGGCAAAGTTATGGAGTTACAAAAACATATTGATATGAATAATTAATATTTTATGTGGTGTATATATTATATTAGAAATATGTTCATTGTTATTACTGCAGATTATATCAGTAAGGAAGCTAAATAAATGTTAAGATAAGATAACCTTCATTAGTCCCACACGTGGGAAATTTGTTTTGTCACAGAAGAAAGTGGACAGTGCAAAGTTATACAGCAAAAATTAGAATACAATAAGAATAATATGCTGTACACAACTGTACAGAATAGAATCAAATAAAATACTATAAACAGTAGAATAAAAGAGAATAAAATATAAAATAACATAAAATAGAATACAAATGCTATATACAACTGAGTGAAAATACAACTTTGTCAGAAAAGAGTATTGCACTTAGTCTTATTGCTCATGTGTGGGTTTGTGTGGGTTTGATCAGCTGCAAAAGTCTTTGTTGTAGAGTCTGACAGCAGTGGGGAGGAAAGACCATGTTAACTGATAATGGCAAAGGAGTGGGATTAAATAAGTGTGCACTTCTTCCCACTCCTTTTAGACATGTAAGTAAATCAGAACAGGTGAAATGTATTTTCTTTTATTTTGTAAAGCATTTTCTTTGCCACATGATCTCCTGTATATTGTTTACATGATCAAAATAAGATTCCCCCCCCCCCCACACACACACACACAGTCACACACACAGAAAACTTTAACATAAATGTGCTTTTTAAAGATTTCAAGTTGTTGTGGAGTCAGTAGTTGTTTAAAGTGAAATTAGCATTTGCACCGAAGCAGTGCAATTTAAGGGTCTGTGGGTGTGGTTTATGTTGTGTTCAGAATCAAATTACATAAGGACACTGCCTTGTTTAGTTTTATTTGTTTATAAAACTAGCTTTATCTCTTTCTATTGTCATTTTCTGCCTAGTAGACAAATGACTGTCCAAGCCAAAACACCTAACTCTTGATGGACAGTACTGTACAGACAGCACTGTCTTAAATCCCAGTTGGTAAATGAAGATTTTGATTAAATTTTTACCCTTTGAAAGCCTACTTGAAGTAGGCATTTGCCTTCCTTCATCTCAATTCTGGTAAAACTGAGATTCCAGACAGTTTTTCTAAGGGGGTCAGTCAGTATATCAGCCCCCACAACCTTGAAACTCACATCTCAAAGCTCATCCAATCTTGTGTCCTTCACCTAAGAAATATTGCAAATATCAAACCTTTGCTGTCATTCAATCATCTGGTATTTTTAGTCCACACTTTAATTTTCTCCCACCTTGATTATTGTAATTCCCAGCACGTGCATCAGTCAGTCCTCCATAGCCAGTTTCCAATTAGTGCAGAACGCAGCAGCAAGACTGCTGACAAAAACTAGCCAGCGGTCAAATATTACACCTGTTCTTGCATCCCTTCACTAGCTTCCAGTGAAACTACAAATCCACTTTGAAATTCTGTTACTAACACATACAGCTCTATATAGACAGGGCCCTGCTTATATAGAAGTGCTTCTGAGACTTTATCATAGCACCCGGCATCTCTGATCCTCTAACCAGGGTCCCCTAACTGTCCCTCGCTCTGATTTTAAAACCAGAGGGGATCGCTTTTGAGGTTATTGCGCCTACACTGTGGAACAGCTTTCCTTAGTCAATCAGGTCAGCTGACTCTGTTATTTGTTCTGATAAAAACTCATTTTTACAGGTTAGTTTTCCCTTAATCTTTTCCTGTTTATTTTCAGCCATAGTTTGTCACTATTTGTATGTGTTGGAATGAATAACTGACCATATAGTTGATTATGTGTCTGCATGTTTGAACACGTACACGAGGGGTAGGCAACCTTTCTGATGATGAGTGCCATCTAAAATTTCCTCAGAAGTCAGTGTGCCATATGATTGCATTAGCAATAAATTTAATAACGCTCTATATCAACAGTTACACACTATATAGAACAACTTTATAGAATTATATTTGTTCGCAGATGTTGGCAGCTATCAGCGAATAGTTATCATCTATTTTAAAACAACAAAAAAAGACACTTTTTTATCCATAACAAGAACTCTATAACAGCAAATGAACTGTACAACAGAAAATGTAAATGCTATTTATGGTCTCCTCACGAGAATGATAAGAAAAATAAACTGGTCCAATATGGCATGTTTTTGATACAGGGATACACATGTTAATGTGATCTCTGGGCTCCCACTCAGAGACACAGGTCTCCGAGTGTCCAGCATTCAGACAGCTACCTGAGGACACTCTTCGTGTGAGAGAAAATCTGCTCACACAGATATGTAGAGCCAAATACTGTCAATAAGGCCTCTGCAATGTTCTGAAGACAGTTAAACTTGTCAGGTAGTGATGTCCAGCAGGTGAAAATGCAAACTCCATGAACACGCACAGCTATGGATACCAGCTGCGTTCGTAGTTCTGCAAACTTTGACCCCCACAGAGTCGAGCTTTTCAGTTCAATCAGCTGCATTTCGATGTCCTCTGAGTTCAGCCAGTTAATGTCAGACAAATCCAGCTGCTCATTGAAGCTTTCTGGTTTGATCAAAAAAGAAAACATTGGTCCATACACCTGAAAGTCCTGAAAACACATTGTGACTTCTGTCTCGAGTCTACGGATGTATCCATGTATTTACGTGGTGCTGATGCTGCGCTGAGCGGACAGCTCCTGAATCATTTGAAGTGTTGGAATGTGGGAATTTCAACATCGCTTGAAAAAGGTGCCAGCTAGCAACGTCCCTCTCACCGGTAGGCTAAGTTATTTTTAGCCAACTACAAGTTGAATCTGGTAGTTGGGGTTGTTAGCTAAGATACCATCATTAAGAAGCGGCACAACTAATGTGTCTATGTGAGCTAATTTGCGATGTGCACCGCTGGCCTGGCCATTTATTTTTCAATGCACCTTCTCAGATTAATTCACTGCGTGTCGTGCCCAGGGCTGGACTGGGACAAAAAAATCGACCATTTTGACTAGAGACCGGCTCACCAGGTATTATAGGAAAAGCCTTTAAATGAAAATGAACGCTGTTGTGACAGTGATGTACACTGTCCTGTTGGTATATGTATGATTTCTATACATTTTACATCAGATGAAAACTTTGGTTGTAAGATTCAGATAATTATTTAATAAAAGCCAGACATTTTAAATGAGAATAAGAAAGAAAAGTATTTCTTTGTGCCCCCCTTTCCCTGTTAATGCCCTACCTGGCCCCCTGGCAAAACTTTGCTAGACCCGCCCCTCCACAGTTACCAGCTGTCAGCTACTTAGAAAAGGATCCTGGTGTTATTTGTGTCTCAGAAACAGTTCATAACTTCCCTTCAACTCATTCATGTCACCTAACAGGTAAACCTGTTTCTCCATCACCTGCTCAGCTCTGATTCAGTAAGGACATCTCCTGGTTTCATCTTCATGTTTCCCTCTCACCAGATAACCAAACCGGTATCACACAGCTTTTACAGCTGTGGCTCCAGCAAACATCAACTGAGACTAGAAATTAATATTAAATAAATTCTAACAACAGCTGATCAAGCTCATTTTACTGCAGGGCAACATGCACATGGTGAATAAAGCCCTGATTGATTGATTGATTGATCGATTGATTGATGAAGTAGCAACAGGAGAGGGAGGAGAGAGAATGAGAGAAGAAGAGGCAGCTGTGCAGTGTAAAGATGCAGAATAACTCAAGCTTTGTGTCTTTTTCCATTCTAGCTGAAGTCCAGGACAAACTTTTCACCTCAATACGAAACGCATAATATTTTCTCTGAATACAGGACGATTCCATTTTTTACGGGACGGTTGGCAACTCTACTAACTAACCTTATGAATAAAATAAAGTTCACAATCAGTAACATCATAGCACCCACCCAGCTGTATAGAAACTCCGTCATGCTAGCTAGTACTCAGTACGAGTTATTGTAACTGACTGTAAAAAGTCAGCACAACAAAAATACACTACACCTGAACTTGGTTTATATCTGACCCAGATAGACTGCAGGCCATAACTTCTTACCTGAAGTTCAGTTCACCTGACACCTCCTCCTGCCTCCCCTTTCTCTCATCCACCTGCTGGCCTCTGTGAAAGCTTCGCCATAGCCACCACCAAACAACTGACTTATTTTTACACATCTGGCCAATTCACCACCTTTCATTGTTTATGCCTTTACAAAAAAAAAAAAATCATCGGCCCATAAAAAAGAAAAATAACCATCGATGGCCAGTCCAGCTATGGTCGTGCCAGCTGCAGCACGCGTGACCAGGGTTGCCGACCCCTGGCGTACACCATCTTCAATATGTAGCTTTTATTCAAACTGTGAAGTGCTTTGTAACTCTGTTTCAAAAAGTGTTTCATAAAAAAGTTATTAATTTCATTTACTGATTTATGTTTAACTTTTTACATTTTTTACTGATATATATACTGAGGTCGCAAAACTTGTCATCAAGCGTAAAGCGCAGGTCGTCATCTTTATGGGGAAAAGAGCTTTTTCAGACCATAGTTTCTGGCCAAAGGAAATATGATAATTACGCTTCACCTTTTCTCCCTGTAGAATATGGTTTCATGAACAAGAGCGCACATTTATCTGTGTAATATAACTACTCAGACAGTACACTGTTTTAGAAACAATAATATTTTGTTATTTTGCAAGATTAGTTCTACTCTGTCTGATGCTTTTTACAGTGTGACAATGACCAAGAACTTCTTAAGAAAAGTTTTATAAGCTTAAGCACAATTTCAAACATGGATAAATTGTAAATGTTGTATATTATCGAAGGGTTGGATGTTTAGTGTTCTCAAAGGGTTTTATATATCATTTGTTCTTTTTATAAAATTCAAACGAAACCCTTCTTTTCAACTGTGTGCATTTCAAACAATTTCTGTTTGAATTGGAGAATGGAGAATGAGAAAACATTAGTACAGCTGCAAAGTAAACTGTGTTCTCCCTGGAGGAGGTTGACTCACCTGAGGGTGAAAATTTGTACTGAAGAAAGAGCAGATAGAGCCAGAAAAGTTGAGACTGTTTCTCGCTGCCGAATGGGTTTGGAGGGTGCCATCACCACAAAGTTATTGTCTAGTTTCAGCTCCAACAGTGGCTGAAACAGTCTGACACTTCCAATGCGCTGCATAGGGGTATGCCCTGCAAAGTACCCTAACGGCCTCGGCTGGTCTGTGAGGACAGAGCTGCCCTTTCTCGAATCCTCTGAAGTGCAGTCTCCGTTATCTGTGGTTTGAACCATATAGTAGAGCTCCACCGGAGTGCCTTGGGCTTCCTCGGAGACCTTCTGCCTACCAGGCCTGACAGTAGGTGGGCTGAACCAGCTGGCCAGGGGCTCCAGCTCGGCAACACATATCCCCAGATCGCCTTTTAGCTTGCATGTTCCACGCACCTCTTGAGTCTCATGAAAGGCAAACATCCTGATACAGGGTAGCTTGTGGATGGTGCTGTAATCATCCCAGTCCCTGCCTGCAATATAGAACAGCACTTGAACTTTCGGCCAGCTAGGGTGAATCCTCTCGCTGATAATGTAAGTGTGCACCTTCCAGTTGAATGTAAAGAGAGGCGATGCCGACGCTGATGTTGTTGAGGATGAAGTGAAAGAGGGTGTGCTAAAGGGCCCTGGCGAAGTCTGTAGCAGCTCCAGGGGGACAGGCTGCTGGACAGACAGTGGTCCATAGCTAGCATTGACAAAGGGCATCTGCCGGGCCTGGTGGATGAAAAAGGACTCCGTGCGAGCCTGGAGGCTGGAGTTCCTCATTAAGTCCTGGTTTGCTTCCTGTAAAAAGAACGCTGACTCTGCATTGAGGATCCGGTAGCTGACAGGTAGATATATTGGTGTGGGGCCAAGCCTCTGCAAACCCTCCAGGATCACCTTGGTGTCCACGACTGAAACAGAAACATAAAATGACAATAACCTGTTAGCCTTTATTTCACAGACTGGAAAAAATCTCTACCAGGGATCTAGTAGCTGTGAAAGTAAGCTTCATTTCGCAAACTGTATCAGTAAAATCAAATTGAGGTGTGAAATCTAAAACCTTAATGAGAAAATTTGGATGAAATAATTCAGAAAAGGGAAGCCAACACTTCATATTTTACATAACATTTGCATGCATTGCCTGCAACCTGAGGCAATCATATCTACAGTCAGTTCCAGCAGTGAATGTTAAATGGTGTGTTGGAGACATTTCCATATGATATCACTTTCATGAGCCACTGCTCTTATTTGGAAGAATTTGCTCGACACAATCCAAAACACTTACGTCTTTCTCAGTCACTTGCTTATCAGGCTTGCCCATGTTCCCTCCTGCTTTCAATCCTTTTCATTATGGTGCACTAACTCAATCTCCCACCCCACCCCCACTCCTGTTATTTTAACTTTCATACATTGTCATCTTCTTGTTTCCTGCACCCCTGTATGTTATTCCAACATTTCCATTTTCATATTTCACATATGTCAGATATGGAAAGTTGAAGTCTTCCAAACTGAAAATATTTGATCTGACTCGGTAAGTTGATGTGCCATAGATAAAAAACAAAGAGTGAACAACTTTGTGATAATGGATAGTGTTGGAGAAACGTTGGAGAACAGCTGGGTTAACCAAAGAAGAAAACAGCTGTTTGCCTTTGTCAGCTTATGTGACATATGGTTTTTGGATAAACCCTACTTTGTATATATCTACAGAATATTTCACATCTTTGGAAAAGCATGGCTGTCATATGTTTGTGCTCAGTATCTGCTTGGTTTTAGTGACAAAACCCTTTCGATTTCAAAAGATACAAAGGCGTTCATCTCTTTCAGTATTTCTCTTTATTGTCGTTGTTTGGCTAAACATGCTCTTAAATCGGGCCTCACATGCACCTAAAACCTATGGCGTTATTTTTGTGCCACTATTCTGAGCGCACGTAAAAAAAAGTTTGCAGGTGCAAGTGTTGCATTTTGAGGAGAAATTTATTTTGAGTGAAGAAAAGCTGAATTTGAGTGAACAAAATTCATTGCTGCGTGCAAAAAAAAGTATTTCAGTGTTTGCTATTATCCATACACACACACACAATAGCAGCCCCTCTCGCTTGGTTTTTGCATTTGCACTTGCTCGCAATGTGTTGCTTGCACTCTCTACATTTCTGCCCGTGCGCGCTCAACTCTTTCTGTACACCGTTATATTTGTGCCACAAAACCAGCCAATCACAGACTTGGTTGCAAAAAAATCTGATTGGCTGTTTTGGTCTCCAATCAGCTCGAAATGACAAAATGCAATATCCCAGAATCCATTTCGTCCAAAACTCAAACGAGGCAGTGGTGGAGGAACACATTTTTGGAGATGCCTGGGATATTGCCTTTCGTCATTTTGAGCTGATTGGAGACTAAAACAGCCAATCAGATTTTTTTGCATCCAAGTCTGTGATTGGCTGGTTTTGTGGCACAAGTATAACGGTGTACAGAAAGAGTTGAACGCGCACGGGCAGAAATGTTGCAAACAACACATTGCGAGCAAGCGCAAATGCAAAAACTGAGCGTGAGGGGCTGCTATTGTGTGTGTGTGTGGATAACAGCAAACACTGAAATACATTTTTTGCACGCAGCAATGAATTTTGTTCACTCAAATTTAGCTTTTCTTTGCTCAAAATAAATTTCTCCTCAAAATGCAACACTTGCACCTGCAAATTATTTTACGTGCGCTCAATTTTTTTCTTTACTTGCGCTCAGAATAGTGGCACAAAAATAACACCATAAAACCTGCTTCCATCTCTCCCTCTCCTCATTCTGCAGACCTGACCCCCACCCTCTTCTCTTCACCATCAGTGCACTGATGGAGTTGCCCATGAGAGTCCATTGATTTTCTGTCCTGGACCCTGCATGCTGTGGGAAATGTGGCATGGTGGTGATTTGTGACAATCCATGGCCAAAAAAGCAATGACAAACTTGCCAGACGAACAGCACCAGACAGAAGAGCAACACTTCAGAAACAGTGCAGTAAAGGGTTAAACTAGCTTCCCAAAACCTTACATGAAATGATGAGGGAGGGAGTTTAGGGGTAGGGGGATTATTCTTCCTTGAAGAAATGTTATTGTCATATGCACAGTAAAAATAAACACAGCATTTTACACTGCAAAATGAAATTCTTATTTTAAATAAGCCTTAAAGATAAAGGTAAACCAGGCAAGTGTTGTGAATAAACACAATTTACCTGAATTTGTTCAGCTAATGTACCCCAATGTGAATCGTTCCCTGTTGCTTCTCTCCTCTCGCACCAACAGCAGTGTATCTTGAGTCTGGAGAAATGAGAGCTGCAACACAGCTCTGTTTTTCCAACTTAGCCACAGACTATGCAGTACTGCAGGTGGACACTGCAGGTGTCACAGGTGTTAACCTCCTAAGCAGCACTGTGTCTAACATCTTTCTTGGCGGTCACCCAACTCTCACGTGGACTGCTGTATTCATCCATCCTTTTTTTCCCCTACAGTGAAATGTCTATTGTTCATTTTCAAACAATTCCATAAGTGAATAATTTATAATATTCCCGGTCTTTAACTTCTTTCACATTACACCTGAGCTACAATTTAGCATATACCTTCAGATTACCCATTTAAAACTTATAGTTAAGCAACTGTTTATGCAACTGTTTATGCCCCATTAAAAAACTACCAATTTCTAGGCTGTGCAAGCTACTTTAATGAGCCGTAGATAAAATCTAAAGGTAGGCATCCTCTAGCTGCCAAATACGTGTTTATAACATTTACACCTTTAAATTGGACGACAGGGAAAAATCGAGCTTTCACATTTGTATTTAACCTTGCATAGGTTGTTTCAAATAACACAGCAAAAAAATTATGAGCCTGTTTAAGGCTTATTGATAAACCAGGAGGCCCTCTATCCCCTCATTTCTACCTCTATATCTACTAATCTGTTTCAAAGTCATGCATTATGTTGTGAGAAAAGTTACAAATGTTTCTTCAATATGTCAAGGACTTTCATTTATCAAGCATTTCACTGTTATGTATCTGTATAATTCATTTATCTGTTGCCTTTGGCTGTTAGTTAGTTAACTACTAGTTCCATCTAGCCTAACCCCCTGGGAACTTACACCCTCGGACTGGGAATCACAATAGTTTGGTCTGTTGTGGCATTATTGAAATGCAGGTCAAGATTTGGACTGAAAAGTCAATGGCAAAAAAAAAAAAAAATCAGCAATCAAGCACATGGCTTCCATTTTATTCTGAAATAATTAAGTATTGTTCTAAATATTGCTTGTGACACCACCCCAGCTAAATAAAATTATGTTTGCTGCCTAAATAACAAACACCCACACAGCTGAAGCTAATTACAGGCGTCTTTCTTCTTTATAATCATATGCATTAATAGTAAAATGTCTGCCTCTGATAAATGAAAAAGAATAAGAATAAGAATGAATCATAAATATGAATTCGTTTTCTAAGCAGTCGCTTTCATGTTTGTATTCATGTGGCACACCTTCAAGCTAATCACACCTTAAAATTAGTCACCCTCTGTGTGCCGAGACAGCATACAGTGAGTGACTGCTGCTGCATAGCTTTTACTGAGAAAACTGTGTTTGCGAGTGACAAAACTGAGACCGTGGTCAAGGGGCGAGCCGGCGCTTAGTCGGTGCTGGATCACGCTTACAGCCGAGTGAAAGGATTTTCCTGTCTATCATTTTCTCTGGGGGATGTGACACACTGTCCTAGTTTCCACTTACTATGACACAGATGAAACTAAATACAACAGGGAAAAAAATGCTGTAATTTGTAACTTAGAATATGATTTAGAGATTTAGAGATTTAGAATATGTCCCTTTCTATGACACCAACAGGACATCGTAAACAGAGAGGCAAAGTCGGTGTGATTTGTAGCCTTGACTTGCCCTTGGATTTCATGTAAGCAGCACTGTACTTGTAAATCATGTCTGTAGGACTGTTTCTGCAAATGAAAAACGGAATGATTTGTGTAGATAGCTTAACTCCATGTGCTAAATCCTGGCTGTAAACTCTACAGGAGTAATTTTGGGCACTGCCAATCCCTCAGGATGTGGCCTGAGGAATCTGATCACATATCAAGCAAACAGCTGAACCAGACCTCATCATTAGACAGATGTGAAACTTGGGATTTACTGACTTGATGTTATATACATGCAGTATGAGGCAAAAGGCCTATGGCAGCAATGGGAATGGAGATTAAAATGTTTTTTTTCCCCATATCATTTCACACCATGCAGCAAGCAACTTCTAAAATAAACCTCAAAATGGTATTGACGCATTCGTGTCCCCAAGACAGACATGTGTGGCTCCAAATCAAACCGTTTCTTATAATCACCTGTTTTTATCCCTGGCGACCTAAGTAGAACTTCACCCAAGAAATATAAGCCCTTCATCTCCCTTCAGCCTCCCTCCTACTCCTCCTCCTCTCATCCTATCTTTATCCTCCACCATGTGTGCATCTTGCAACCACTCCCTGATCAAACATATTAGGCTGGCCAACTTCAGTAAGTCACTAATCAAACAGCATTTTTTTTTAATGAGATTTATAAATGGAGACTGAGGTAAGAGGTAGGAAAACCCGAACAGCAACAAAGATTGGAATGGGGCAGGGCAAGAGGGTGGTGGTGGTGCACTGTTTGTGTTAAGAAAAGTAAAAAATTACAGCAAGAACATTACAGGATGCATTACATTACAGCATGCCTTTATCATGATACTCTGATTACAATTTTGTTTTTTGTAAATCTAGCACAACATTGTTCTCACCTCCTTTAGAAGCACCTACAAAGGTTTAATGCCTCCCAACCTGCTGATGCTACTCTCCCAGACTAATGTTTCACAGAAAAGAAAACAATTAGTGGTCATTGACAAAACTGGCATGTAAAATCTAAGGGCTC